GCCAACTTTGAAGCTGATTTTAACTATGAAGACGATGATAAATTTGTATTTTTTTTGGTTTGGTATAAAGATTGTACTTTAGTCTACACAAAGCATTAATTAAAATTATTAATTTCATTCATTAAGTGCCTTAAAATTGCATTTGAAAGTCACGATTTTGGCCAATTTTGGCTGCTCCTGATAGACTGGTCTTTTTATCGAAAATAATAAGATTTTTAAATTACACCAAAGTGGGTTTGGTTTACTGCTAACCAGGCGTAAATATGAATTTATGAAAAATTATCCTTCTCCTACTTTTCTTATCTTTTATATATTTATGTATATATTATATATATATATAGATATATATATATATACTACATTTATATTATATATATTTATATATATATATATATTATGTCGATTTTTGTAATACTGACACTCAATAAATTTATTCTATCGATATGTCTTATTTATTACACAGTTTGAAAAAATTATTGGCTCCAAATATTTTTTTCAGTCAAATGGGGTTCGATCTGTCGATCCTCGAATTGCTATTCCGGCCTAAACCGTATCTTTACGACCTCGGCCATTCGCACATTTGGCATACAATATTTTTAAGAAACTTATATCTTTCAAATTAAAAATAAGACTTTATATTTTTAAAAATAGCAGGTGGTTCTGTATAACAAATTGGCCGAGCTCGTTAAGTGACCACTACGGTTGTTTAGCGTGCCTCGGTTCAAATCCCTAAGATGCTTGAAAAATCGAATGTATAGTTTTTCATAATTATCAAATATAGTTCAAAATATTAAATTCAGGTGTCGCATTTCGACCTTGACACTTAGAATATTTCTGAAAACAAAAAACTCAAGTTTCGCACTTGACTGTAAGAGAGATACATAAAAAAAAAAAAAAGAAAAGATAGAGGAAGCACTGGGGAAAGAGAGGGTAGAGGCAGATGATGAATAAGAGAGTGTATGATACATATTCTTTATTAAATTCAATATTAATAAATATAGGAATAAAAATAACTTTTATCATCAATAACTTAAATAGCCGAGTGGTTTAAGGGACCGCATACTCGGTGAAATCGCTCTGGAGGCAGGCACAAGGTGAGACGGATCGAATCCGGCTGAAGCGACGACAAGGAACTCTGAAGCAGAAAAATGGAGCAGTGCTGGTGACGGCTGTTGGCGAGCGCAAAGGGTCCTGAAACGAACACACCAAGTGATGGTCACCTGAGGTCCATGATGCGAGAGGTTACACGCAGAGAGACACATTGCGGAAGATGCATGCCGAACCCAGAAATCTACCCAAAAACCACAACATGCGAAAAAACAACACAAAAAAAGCGGAAAAAAAAGAAAAAAAAAGGGAAAAGAGGAGAGGGGGAGGAGGAAGAGGAAGAGGAAAGGTAGGTGACCTAAAAAAAACCCCTAAGTCCCAGGTCAATTTTTCCTTTTCTGTTCAGCTTGAAACTTTTTTATGTTTTTTAGTGTTCCCTCACACACACCAATTCCCAAAACCAACACTCGAATGAAATCAAGTCCACGTTGAAATTTTCACAACGAGAAAAAAATTCTGGGACTTAGTTAAAATATTTAACTTTGCCCCAATAAAATTTTCTCGTTGAGAAATATTCAACGTGAGCCTCATTCATTCGAATGTTGGCTTTGGGATAATACAGCATGCATAAATAGCTCGTCTGTCTTAATTGAAAAGGTTTCAGAAAATTTGAACTTAGAAAAAAATTATCTGAAAGGACTTAGAAAAAAAAATTATCTGAAAGGACTTAAAAAAAAAAAATATTCGAAAGAATTATAATCAGAAAATTTGGACTTGGAAAAAAAAAATTATTTGAGAGAATTATTTAATTAATCGATGAAATGAAATGATATTAATCGAATCAAAATTGTTTATACGACTTAATAAAACTTGTGAAACCTTTACAATTAATCGAGACAGAAACAAATTTAGTTGACTTGAATAATATACAAATTATTAGAAAAAGCCATAAAAGAAATTCAATAAAACTTGTAAAATAAAATAATGAAAAATATTCGAAAACTTGAACATTAAAAACTTCAAAACTGTTTAAAGCTGATTGTTATCCTTTAGAAATCGAGTTAAATAATTTTTACAACTTGAATCGAATAATAAACTTGTTAACAAAATAATATTTTGTCTAATCATTCAAGTCAACTCTTTGAAACTTTGATTGCAAGTCTTGATCAAAATTGTTTTTAGCAACAAAAGAATAAAAAAATATTATTTAGCTATGCAGCGATATAATTGAATAAATTTAGAATAAAACTACAGTTAAAAGTTTTAAAAAGCTGCATTTGATTAACAATTTGGTAGTCGTATTAAATATTTGAAATAATTTGATCAAAACCAACAATCGTGTTATCCAATAAATAAAAATGTACATGCAATCAATATCGCTACAGGGAAAACACATGATTCTTGATAATTTAAAAAATTGTTTCCAAAGAATAATGAACAAGAGGTGTCACAAAAAAAGAGATTTTTGTAACAAAGTAAATTTGTAATTTGTAATAAAATACCATCAATTTAGGAGTTACCTAAGAAGGATGCTAAGACCTATTCAACAAATAAGTATCGATGCTTACAAAAAGCTGTATTGGTTAACTAATAATTTGGTAACTAAAATTTAATATTAAGAATTTTGAATTCTACACAAAATCAGCTCATAGTGTTGTTATAGAACAAAAGAATTTCTGGTGGAATATTATATGGAATTGTAATAATATAAATTACTTTCAATGTCTTTGATACATACGAGAAGTACAAACTTTATCTTTTATATTGATTTAAAACATTCATAAAATTTTAATTCATAAGTAAAATAAAAAAAACTGAATCAACATGTTTTCCCCATAACAAATTAAATATGAACATAGTCTTTTACACATATGTCTGCCAAATTAATTTAAAATCTTTTATTAGCATAATAGTTGTAGTTGAATAAACAAAAGATAAATTGTATTTTATACATTAGAAATTAATAAAAGTATATCTCATTAAAGAAAATTATATTAACTCAAATTTATAGAATAAACAATATTTTCAGCAGATATATGTATACAACTATATTAATAATGCACGAGCCAGAAAATATTTTACTAAAATATATACAGACTGCTTTATAATGATATCGGATAAGAAAAAAAAGGCACAAGTTCTCAAAGCATCTTTCAATTAATTTCATTTAATATGAAAATCAAGCATTAAATACATAACTATATAGAAATATTATTATTACAAGCATAAAAGTAGTATAATAAAAAAACTCGTCATTAATTGTAAGCCTCTTTCGGAAAATAAATTATGAGTAATATCTTTTTATTTTTTCTATTCAAATTATAGTTTTCACTAAAGATTAAAAAAAATTTGTGATGAAGTAAACATTTTCAAAAATATTTGACTGCTTTAAATTCAAAAATAAGAAAAACTTAATGTACATATACTGCATATGTAGTACTTTTATTTATTTTCTTTATATGTAGTACTTTATTCTTTATATGTATTCTTTTACATTTTCTTTCAATAAAACTGTTTTTTAATTACTGAATGGATGCCCAAGAACATTTTATCATATTATTTCACCATCTGAAGAAAACCTCTTGCTTTATATAATATATATATATATATATATATATATATATATATATATTTAATTATTAATAATAATTTAAAAATTAAATATTTAATATTTAAAATAAAGTACTACATATCAGATGTAGTACGATAAATGCCTGTATATATCAGAAATATATTCTTTGACTCATTTGTATAAAACATGCTTTGCACTTACATTGTTCGATATCCTCTACAGCAGCTCCCAGAACACTAATTCATTACTCGAACCACCTCTGGAGCATCTGCCAGAAATCTCAAGTACTCGACACAAAATCACTACTTTAGAACCACTACATAACTTTAGTCTTTTACAAGTCTATTCGACCTGTTGCAATTGTCCGAGTAAAGTCTTTACACAATACACGACACACGACTTACTTAGAGACTTTCGTGAATTTAGAATTCGATAATAAAGAGATATGTGTTGGAAGTACTTAAATATAACCTACAAAAGCGCATATATATAAATTATACATTTTACAATTGCATATATATAAATAAAGGATACATTGGCGCTGTAAATGAATTAATAACCTACAAAAGCACATATATAAATTATACTATTGATAATGACATGTATATAATGAAGGATACATTGACGCTGTAAATAAATTGTTTAATTATAAAATTGACTCAAAATGGAGGCCCTGAAAGAGATACTTATAAAACTATACATTTAGGCACTTCCACACATATCCATTTTTTGGCTTTTAATTAACGTTTCACGATAAATTTATTATATCAAAATGATCTACTAAATTAATTACACGTTTTGATGCATAAATTAATTAAAACTAATCAAGGATTTAATTAAAAATCATAATTAACGCGACGGCGTGTTAATTCACGGAAATTTCTTTGACAATTGAAGTTGTCAACATGTGTCAGAATGACTGTCACCTCTTGTACAATTTAAAGCGCGAAATTCAAACATGAAATTTGAACTTTATGAAAGTTACCTATTTGAACATATACGGTAAAAAGCAAAGTGTATACACTTTGAATATGTGATAATTTTACTTATTCACTAACAGAAAACTACACTATAAACAGAACAATCTATGGCCCAAAATTAGTTCACTTTCCAATTATTATTATAATATTAAATATTTATTTTACACTGATCATGAAATTTAAAATTTTCTAAAATGAGCCAGGTTAGGCCAGAAATTTAAAATTATCATAAAAAAATTAGGTCAAATATTCATACATTATTTAAATCCAAATTAACTCATAGAATTAATACAAAACCTGATATCAATGGCATTTATTTCAATTAAAAGTAGACATAAATAATTATCGCAATTAAAAATTAATCAAACGAGTACAAAAATAACATAACTACAAGTAATTATTTATATAAAATCATATAAATATTTCCTTATATTGAAACCAACAGATTTAGCCACGACTTGCATAAAGTCTAATCCTACAGCACATTGGTAATGAGCGGAATCAATAGACGCCTCTCCACCGATACAAACCAGCATTTGCAACTGAACCAAACTAGAAATCTAAAAATAATAACGAATTGGATTAAATAATAATATTTAATAATTTGAATTTTTTTTTAATAATAATCATCACCTGTGCTAAGAGATTGCAAGTCAGACCAATTTTTTCGTCGAGTATTGCATAAAATATAGCAAGCAATCTGTCTTGTGTGAAAGTTTTTGGACCAATTTGTGTACTCAGCTTTTCTGTCACCTTAAAAAAAAATATTCATATAAATCGAATCAAATAATTTAATAGTTACAAGAGATATAATAAACAAATGCATCAATAAGTTTCCATGAAATGTGCCTGTGCAGGGTGAGATTTTTGTAGCAAAAAATTCAATCATGATTTTAAAGTATACTGAGTTGCTGTAGGGCGTTATAACGTTAGAATATATCATAGACTAATTAATTCTGCACATATTCTCCAAATACGTAAATTAAATTCATCTATTATTTTAAAAGTTACAAGCAATATAATAAACAAATGCATCAATAAGTTGCCATGAAATCTAGAAATGCTTGTGCAGGGTGAGTTTTTCATAGCAAAAAATTCAATCATGATTTTAAAGTATACCGAGTTGCTGTAGATCATTATAATGTTAGAAAATATTATACACTATTCAATTCTGCACTTATTCTCCAAATACATGAATTATATCAATCAAATATTTTAAAAGTTACAAGAAAAATAATAAACAAATGCACAAACAAGTATCATATACCAAAAAATTTCTTTATTACCTTTGCTTTATTTTTGAGATCCTGAACCCGTTTCTTTCTCTTGCCATGATGTTGCATAAAAAGCCTTTTGTCTTCTTTAGCAGCATTGTAACTTGCCAAATAGGCTGCTATTAGCAAATATTTTGCGTAATAAGGCAATTCTATACTTTGCTTCATATTGATGGCAGAATTGTCACCAATGTGTTTGGTGATTGAGATATCCTGAAATATTAAAATAAGATATGTATATATATATACATATATATATATATATATATATATATATATATATTACTTACATTATTATACAAAATATTTTGGAGTCCTATCCGCTGATATAAAGTTCCCAAAGCAGTTTTTAAAATAGGTGCAACGTGTCTCCAAAGTTTTGTTGTTTCCTTATAATTTATACTTGAATTTATAACAGGTCTGCAATATTCGATATAACAAACTCTAGCCATATATTGCAATTCTGGTAAATCTCTGCAGGCACGATAAAACACACACAGAAAGGCATTAAGATAACTTCCATAAAAATCCTTATCTAGAAATAAAATTAATAATAAATTATATTGGATAAATAACAAACATATATATACAATTATAATCTCACCCAAGTCATTTATGATGTCCGAGTTGGAATACTTTTGTACCAAAAGCATTTTATTATAATCATAATCCAAAGTCATAATTTTTAGTAATTCTTCTTGATTGTACTGAGGCACATGTACAACTATCGGTTCAGGCAAACCAGTTTTATTGTGAAATTTCTCAAACATAATATCACTAACCAAAACAGTACAAACATTCAACTTTGTCAACTCTTTCAGCCTCATAAAAGCTGGCAAAATATTATGTTCCATGTCTCGCAGCCTCTCAGCATTTTCAAATACAATAACAAAATCTTTAACATGTGTCAGTTTTGATATTTTTTGCATTTGTGGAATAAAGTCGGATATGCAGTCACATTTTGCAAAGGAGGTGTAGTTGTTTTCTGGTGTCAAATTGTGACCGGATAGTGTATTCAAAATGCTCTCCAGCATTATTTTTAAGGAATAGCATTCGATGCAATTTACAATCACAAAGTTGTGTTTTAGATATTTGAGTAGGGCTGTGATTGTTTTGGATTTGCCAGTGCCTTTGTGTCCTAGTATGAAAAGACATTGTGGGAATACTTCGTCTTTATAACCTATAGTGTAATAGACAAATGTAGTTATATAAATCAACATAAGCAATTGGTAAAAATGTTTATTCTAACCTATATAGTTGTACAAAGTTTTAATCAAATTTTCTCTACATGGCAATGTAGGACTAAGAAATTCAACACACTCATTCATTTTGCAACAACATAAACTTTTAAAACAATTTTATAACAAATTTAACACTATTTTAACACATTTTGTACCAAAACAAGACGTTTGTGAAGAAATTCGTTAGTAAACTGAGCAACTGTCAAATGATAAACCTGTCAAAGACTTTACGGTGTGAAGTTAGCAATTTGAAGTTGACAGCTGAGGTAACGGATTTTAAGTTCAAAATTTGAATTGGTAACCAAATTATGTATTTTGGTTATCAATTATTTAAAGAATTTAATTTTAATAACTTTTTTGGCAAAACAAGACTTTTGTAAAGAAATTAAACAACTGTCAAGGCCTTTATGGTATGAAGTTAGCAAATTGAAGCTGACAGCTGAACTAACGGATTTCAAACTTAAAATTTGAGTTAGTAACCTAAATAATTATGTATTTTTATTAAATATTAATAAATAGGCATAAGTTTAATTTAAAAGACTATAATTTCAATAATATTTTTAGCAAAACAAAACGTTAGTAAAGACAATCGTTTATAGCTAAACTTTAGAGAGTGAAGTTAGTCAATTAAAGTTGACAGCTTCAATAACGGAATTTAAATTCAAAAGTTTGATTTTGTGGTACAATTTATGTATTTTTATTATTTATTAAGTATTTATAAATACTAAGCATTTGATAATAAGTTAATTTGAAACTTTAAAATATAAGTTTTTATTTAATACATATATTTCAATACAATGTATTTAGCAAAATAGCGAAAATGGTTTCTTTTTTTCAGTGCTTATACCAAAATTCAATAGAATATTTGTTATAATTAGTATATATATATTAAGCTGCAAGTACTATAATTTATAGTATAAATAATTTAATAAAACTCTTCTATTCAGGTACATAATTTTATTCAGTAACAAAATCTAACATATTTGGTGCTTTTGTAAAATACTAATTAGTGCTTAAATTAATTCCATTGATAAATATAGTATATTTAATAAATATTGATATTTATCTACAATATTTCATAAATAATTTTAAATATCTTCGGCGTCTCTAATATGTCCTCTGTAAGGAGAATGGCGAATTCCAAAACTGTGAGCTGGTACACAGTCTAAATTAACCTAATTTAATAAAAATTAATATTGTTATATTTATTTTTATAATTAAATACAATTGTTTGAAGTTCCAAACGTGCAACTCAAGCAAAACTTTATTAATTTCACCATTAAAAAATAAAAATAAATTAATTACACATAGATATATAAACTACAAATATTTTTTATTCGAAAGCAAAAGGATCGAATTTTCCCCTCGGGGGTCCTGTGCACAAGACCTCATTCTGGATCATGTGTTTATCGGGAATTCCTTTGTATGGGGTATGACGGACTCCAAAAGATAATTCAGGAGGCAGGAGTTGATGGGCTTTGTAAATCTAAGGGAATAGGAAGGATATAAAAAATATACATCTTTATTACCATTATCTTTTTATTACCTTTTCCGGGTAGTATGCACCCGGTCCAGGATTTTTGGTCCGGGTTGACGGGTCGGGTAACCTGGCCCTGATTGTGTAAGCCGCCGGCCTGGGCTGTAGAGGCGCGTCGGTCGCATCGTAAGCCCCAGGGCCGGGGAAGGCCTCGTTTCTCTTCGGAGGAGGATGTCGGCCCACGATGGTGTAAGCTGGGGCCGCCGGACATTTGGCCTCTTTAGAACCTCCGATGGCCGAGGGGATATTGTAGAGATTCGGGGCTGGATAATGGAAATATATTTATATATACAGGGTGTCCCAGAACTCAAGGAAAAAGATTTAGTTTATGTAGTTTGGGAATTATGTGCTTTGGTGAAATTGTGACCATTTTTTGGTTATTGTGGCTAATTTTTATTATTTTTGTTTATTCAATCTTTGATTTTGTAAACCTATAAAACATTTTTAGGACCACAGACCAAAATAATAATACAATTTCCCCAAGTATTCAAGAATTAAGACATTTTGTTCCACTACGAACTTAAATATCTCAAAAGACTTTGAGAGGCCCTCCTTTAAAAAAAATGCACTAAAGTGTTTCGGCAAATTTTATCAAAAGTTTATGCATTTAATCAAGATTGTAAAATAATAAAATACTTAACAAGTGTTCATGAAAAAATTTGAGTAAAAAAATAAAAATCAAAAAATAACACCCTAACGATTACAAATGTCTCTATATATGACAATCTCAGTCTAAAAAATTATGTACGTATTTTCAAACACGATTTTAGAGTATACCGAGTTGCTTTAGGTTAAAACAATGTTAGAAAATATTGCAGAGAATTTAATTTTGTACAAATTTGTCGAATAGATCATTCATATTAAATGAATATTTTCCAAGATATAAAATTTATAATAAAAAAAAACGCACGCATAAGTAATTCATACATCTTTGTGCACTTTGTGTGTAATAAAATACACCGAGTTTCTATAAGGCATTATGATGTTAGACAAAATTATACAGAATTTATTTCTGTACAAATTTGCAAAATATTTTATATATATTAGACAAACGGTTTAAAAGTTACAAGAGATTTAGTAAATGAATGCATAACAAATTTTAGAATCACAATGCCTTATATAACATCAGAATTACATTAAATAAAAAATATTATTCTATAACTTATATAACTTTTTAATAAAATTTAAATAAATATATACACAATTAATTTAATATGTATATAAATAACAATAAAATAGTAATAAATTTATGTATACATATATAAAGTTATTAAAAAGCAAAAATTTGAGCCATAAATGTGATCAACGTATATGAAATTTTTAATATATATATATATATATATATATATATATGTATATATGTAAATACAGAAAACATACTTACATTATCCTCGTAAGCATTTATATAAACATCTAAAATAAAAATAAATATTAATAAACATTTTAATTGCTATACAAAATTATATCAATCACATCCTAAAGTATTAATATAATTTAATTAAATATATATATATATATATATATATATATATATATAAAATTGTTATTTTTTAAAGTTGCAGCCGCTTTTTAAAATAAAACTTCAATCCGTGTTAATTTTTTATTGCTCATATACAAATATATCAAATCTAAAAATTTCTATATATATTATATTTTTATACAAATTCGAGTATTATATATATTTATAAATATAAATAAAAGCATTATAAAAATATTAATTTGTTAAATAGGCAAAATCACATCTTAAATCTAATTAAAGTCCTTTGTGAGTTTAAACAAATCATCCAGTTTAATAAATAGTTGAATTATTGTCGATATAATAATAATAGTTAGTATTTTGGCAAATCTAAAATAAAAAAGGATATATTTATATATATTGAATATTGTATTTTTAAGATATTGTGTGAAATTGTACCTTTTTAATATATATTATCTTATTTTAGGCGTTACTTGTTTGTTCTTTTTGCTTCTTCTGGTACCATTTTGTTTGGAACCTAAAATTGAGTCTGAATTGTTATAAATATTGCCAAAAAATATAAATATTTATAAGTATATATATTTGCAAATAAAATTAAATTAAAAACACATGCAACCCTAAATTTTCACCTCTAGCCATTAAACGTTTTTTATTGTATTTCTATTAAAATCTTTTTTTGTTTAAATTTCTCTAGAATAGACAATTATTTTTATCAAGTTTGTTCACCCCTAAATTTTTAAATATTTTTGTTTGAATCTTTTTTTTCTAATTATTTTTTTTTAAATGGGATGAAAAATAAACCCTTCAAGCACATAAGTCTTAATTTTATTAATACAATTATCTTTTATGCTGCTCGATATCAGGTCAATTCCTAGTGTTTGTTTTTTAATGAAAAAAATTTTATGTTTTTTTAATGCAAAATATAATACCAAATTTATATAAACTATTTATATATGAAATATAATAAAAAATTCATATAAAAAATAATTCATACTCAAAAAATATATGGGAAAAATATTTTAAATATAAAAAAATGAAGATAAAAATATATAAAGATTATAAAATAATAAAATAATGATTTTTTAATTTACTAAAAAGGTAAATTAAATTTACAGGCTACAATTTATAAGTTAAATCTTATAATTAATTAATTTATTCAAAAAAAGGTGGAAAATATGAATACAAGTATTCATTAGAAAATCCAGTCAAAATTTTGCAAATTTATAATTTTTTCTCCACCTACCTTTACCATTTTGCTTACTGAATTCGTCCTGTACAACATAAGTAGTAACTTCACCAGATCCTGGTGCTTTTGAAGCTTTTATGCTATATTTTCCCTTAATATTAGATGTTCCAGAAACCCCATCATGGGATTCATAATATTCTATTACTGTCGTAGGACTCGACACAACTGTTTCTTTAATGTTACTTGATTGTTTCATACTTTCTAAATAGAAAAAAATAGAAAAATGAAAAAAAGTTATATTTCATAAATACAGCAGAAAATAAGTAATATACGTTTTGGAACTTTGTGTGTGTCATCGTCGAGAAATTAAAAATAAAAAGGTTATTAGGTAATAAATCATAAGTATCATGAATTTCAATATACAATTTGTCGTTTCGATTTTTCTCAGTGATGACACAAATCAAGTGCCGAAACGTATAAGTAAGGAGTTATCAATACTTGTTATTTTATTGTATATATATATGTATATATGTATATATATATATATATATATATATATATATATTATAAATTATTACTTTTGCTTTCTGTTGAGGCAGAACCATCCTGCACAATATAACTCTCGACAATTGGACCAGACCTAATAGTTTCCACTATTTTGTCGCCACCAGATTTGGTCGAAACTGTTATAAAAATCATTATAAATAAATAAATAATACTTAATCCCAAAAATACTAGATCTAGTGGAGCATACCTTAGAAATTCTAGATTAATTAAAAATTAAAAATTCAATATTATAATATAAACAAATTTTTGAAATCTTCAAAACTTACACCTTTGATAAATTGGAATTCTAGTAATAAATTTCGATCTTACAAAATTTTAATCGTGAAATTAAGATTCTCTGGGGAAAATAAATTTCTCCTTCGATAAATTAATAATAATTATTATTACCTTTACTCCTTTTTCCATTTTCGATAATGTAAGTTTCTATTATTGGAGACGATCCTATTGTCTCCACAGTTTCTATCACCCTTTGTGCACCTGAGAAAAAAATTAAAAATTAGCTATACACTAAAGAAAATAATTCAATCTAATATATAAATATTTTATACCTTTACTCCCTTTTCCGTCTTCAACAATATAAGTTTCTACTCTCGGAGATGATGATGCAGTTTTTACCGTTTCTAGAATTGTTTGTCCACCAGATTTTGTAGAAACTACTAAAATTTAATATAATTTCATAAAAGAAAATTACAATTATAATAAAATTGATATTTCCTACCTTTACTCCTTTTTCCATCTTCAACAATATAAGTTTCTACTCTTGGAGATGATACAGTTTCCACAGTTTCTAGAATTTTTTGGGCACCAGATTTTGATGAAACAACTGAAAATTAATATATTATAATAAGAAAACTGGATAGAACTCATGTAAAAGATCATTTTATAAAAGAAAAATAGAAAAAAATAAACAAGTTGTTGAATAAATGAAAAGTGGTATTCCCATATGGTAATATTGCTTTTGAACATAGAAATGTTAATATTTTTATTATTAATATTATTAACAATTTAAATAAAAAAATAGAGTTAGTATTTTGTTTTTTTCTATGAAATAAAAAAATTGCACCAAGTGAGAAAAAATTAAGAAAACTAAAAGTCAAAGTACTAGACAAGCTTTTAAAGTAAAAATTGCAAGGTAAAAGAATTAATTTAAATCTGTTTTTAGTCATCAATAACAATAGTATTATTGATGATTAAATCTGGAAATAACAAAAATGCTATAGTTCTAATATTTTGTATAATTACTTTATTTATTTCCATTTATATCTAAGTTTCTACCCTCGGAGATGATCCTATAGTTTCCACAGTTTCAATTATTTGTTGTGCACCGGATTTTGTAGAAATTGCTAAAAATAAATAATATATATATATATATATATATATATATATATGGCATTTACAACAATTCCATGCCAACAGTTATATACATCCCGATATAAAAATTTTGAATAGAACGACTTTGAATTCGATCTCTCATTATTCTTTGGAAATGAATAGAAAATTTCGGGACATTTTTTTGGTTTTTGTCAACTAACTCACAAATATCAGGGGAAAGTACCCCTTTTCAGTTAGATGGGAAGAAACTAGATAAAATTTACTATGATTCCGTGCCATCAGTTATATACATAATACATTTATTCAATTTTTGTACCATTTTTGCCTTTTGCACCAGTACTGGAGTCTTCTATAACATAAGTTTCCACCCTGGGCGAAGACCCTGGAGTTTCTACAGTTCTTATTAATCTTTGGGAACCTCTTTCTGAAACATCTATAAAAAAAATAGTCGACACAATTTTATAAACAAATATAAAAGTCATGGAAACAAATGTTTGAATTTGTATTTGAGAAGTATTTTCAATTTGTTTTTAGAATTTTTAACAAGAAATTGTAGCAAATTTTTAATTATGATGTTAATAAATATTTATAAACAGCAATGATTCTTCGGATTTTTCAATAAAATTGATTTCAATTTGGAAACGGGATTCTCTCTAATATATCTTTTTTTATAATACGTCTTTTGTACGTGTGTATGTCAATCAAATGCTCCCAAACGGTTATTCAAATTTTGATAAAACTTTTTGTGTGAGTCAAAGTGAGTTTGTAGATGATTTTAGTAAAATAAAAAAATGTAATAATCATATAGGAGTAACAAGAAATTTAACAAATAACTAACTTGTCATTGTTTGATCTTGAAAAAAAAAAACATTAGTTTTTATAGGTAACAGTTTTGAAAACTAGTATAGTTAAAAATTTGTACTGAAATACTAAAAATTTGTACTGAAATATTATAAAAATTAAGCTTAAATATTAAAACATACTAATATTTCATTTATTTAGTTACCTCTGCTTGCTTTTGAAGATTTCTGCACGTCTTCAATGATGTAACTTTTCATCCTTGGAGAAGAACTTACGGTTTCAACTGTTTCTACCAATCTGCGCACACCTAAAATTTTTATAATATAAAAATTTTCATTAATAATTGCTTTTTATTAATTACAATAATAATTAAAAATTATGAATACCTTTTTGTCCTGGTCTAGAGACTTCCACAACGTCGGACTCTACTTCAGAAGTCTCCACAGATTCTATAATTCTATGTAAACCTGATTTTCCTAAAAAAAATAAAAATATAAATAATTGTTTAATTATACTAGCTGGCCCGACAGACCTCAATTTTTTTTAACTTCTTGTGTACTATTCAATCTACGATCAACTAACTAAATATTTCATACCCATTATTCAAAACAAATGAATTTTTGACACAATGAAACTATAAATAATTTTGTGAATAAATAATTTTTTTTATAATAATTTAGTAAAGTAAGACAAAATACGTCATGCATAAGTTAAAGAAAATAATCTGCTGAACTGAATTATGTAAATTCACCTGTCAAATATTTACTGTATTTTATATTACTTTAATTTCTGGCATATCTCAGCATTATATTTTTCTTATTCATAATCATGAATATATCATATTCTAATATTGTCTAAGCTCATTAGTAACTTGAAATTTCTGGCAGATGACAGTTCTCATGTGTCAAAATAATTTCAATGTCAAACAATGATTCCAGTTACTATAGTCTAATAACAATAACTATAGTTTTATAATTCATGACATCCCAAAAATTTCCCTTAATAAACTCCAAAAAGATCTATCAAAATTTGAATAACCGTTTAGGAAAAGTTTGAATTCAAATGTTACTTAATTCAAATATCTGTACATCCGTACAGAAAAATTGTATATATATATATATTATAAAGTTTTATAATTCATGACAACTTAAAAATTTTCTTTAACATACTCGAAAAATATTTATCAAAATTCAAACAACCGTGCAGAAGGTGTTCGAATTCATACAACCGCACAGAAAAATTTTATATTTAAAGTTTTATGATTCATAACATCTTAAAAAATTCCTTAACAAACTCCAAAAAGATTTATCGAAATTCAAATAACCGTTTAAGTGAAGTTTGCAATCATACATCCGCACAGACGAATCGTATATATAGTATTTTATATATTAATTATTATTATTTTTTTTAAATTACAATATTTATTACAACTGTTAAATAATATAACATCTAGTGATGAATAAGATAAATTTAAATAAATAAGAGTACAAAGGATAGAATTTACATTAAAATGATATCCGTAGTTTGATGATTTAATATAAAATAAAAGCAAATAATAATAAATAAAATAAATAAAATATATTAATTATAACATCTTGAAAATTTTCTTTAACAAACTCCAAGAAGATTTATCAAAATTCGAATAACCGTTTAGGAGGAGTTTGAAAAATTTTATATAAATACCTTTATGTCCTTCCACAACTTCTTCGACAATATAAGTTTCTGCACTAGGAGAAGATTTGTTTATGGTTTCCACTGTTTTGATAATTCTTTGAGAACCAGTTTTTGTACCTAAAAATTATTTTTTTTATATTATATTATATATATATATATATATATATATATATATATATATGATTATTTTTATATACCTTTGCTTTCTTTTGAATCTTGTATAACATAAGTTTCTACTCTTGGCGAAGAAGTTACAGTCTCAACTTCTTCTATAATTATTTGGCCACCAGATTTAGTAAGGGCTAAAAATAAATTGTATATATATATATACATTAGGGTGGTCCTTAATATGGATATTTTCGATTTTTTGCTCACGGGAACTTAAATGCTTCCAATTCGTAAAAAAAATCTCTGATTTATTTAGATTTAGTAAGGGCTAAAAATAAATTGTATATATATATACATTAGGGTGGTCCTTAATATGGATATTTTCGATTTTTTGCTCACGGGAACTTAAATGCTTCCAAATCGTAAAAAAAATCTCTGAGGGGTTTAACTCCTAATATTATTTTTAAGATCTTCTTCCCAAGTAAATATTTATTTTATAAAATATATAATTTGTTTTGGAATTTTTTTTATTTATGATTAATATAAGCAAATACAATGTTATTCTCAAAATTTTGATTCACTTATCGCTTGTTATAAAATTCTAAAGAACAAATGAATTTTACCCATGTTATTTTTATAAGAAACTTTGTTTGAATTGCGGACTATGTTAGAGTTAAAATTAGGATTATTTTATGACTTTCAGATTATTTTTTTTTATTTTTTCAGATTATTTTTTTTATCATTTGAATCTCTGGGAGCAAAGAAATTTGATAATAAATATATAAAACACAATTAAATTTTTCTATTACCTCTACTATTTCCATCAATTGCTTCTTCAACAATATAAGTTTCAACTCTTGGAGATTGACCAACAGTTTCAACGGTTTCTAAAATTTTTTGGACCCCAGATTTTGTAGAAACTTTATTTTCCTTGGAGAATTTTTCATCCTGAACAACAAAAGTTTCGACTTCGACAACTGGCATTGATGTTGTAACAGTTTCCACAATTCTACGACCATCACTGGACTTTTTGGTAACTTTAATAAAATAAAAATTCCATAAAATTAAATAAACAAATAATAGAATACGTAAATTTTTTTAGAGACACAAGAATAAAAATTAAAATCATATTCACCTCTTTTTTCTTTACTAAGCCCATCTTCACTAATAAATTCCTCGACCTGAAAACTTGGTGTTGTTTTGTAAGTCTCCACAGTTTTGGAATATCCATCAGATTCTTATGAAAAATTTGGAAAAGATATCAAAAATTAATACTAAAGTATAATATTTATTATGTAATACTCATATGTATATATTTAGAAAAAATTCGTTTACCTTTTCTTCCCATTTCTATAAAATCTTCATATTTATTGATTTTTTTAGTATCAGTCGTGGTTGTTGATTCTTGGGTATCTTTTGTTGTTATTGTTGCAACATCTAAAATAAATAAAATAAATATATAAAGACCATCAAAATAAATAAAATAAAAATATATAAAAACCAACAAAATAATTTTGTTGCAAATAAATATAAAAATAATTAATTGTTTATGTGAAAAATCAGACACAAAATTAAAAATGATATTTAAAAAATGTATCCACATTTTAATTTCTGTATTTGACCCAATCATAAGCAATATTTATATAACATAGATTCATAATTAGTAAATATATATTTTTGCAGAAAATGAAATAAATAATATAAAAACATATAAAAACGATTTTTCCATATATTATCTTTTTGTACCTAGATATAATAATAATAAATTGTTCATGTAAAAATTCAGATACAAGAATAATATTTTATGTAAAATTTATGATTTTTGAACACATTAAAATAAGCAAAATTCAAATATCTTAAATTTGTTCTAAAATAAATTTATGACGTAAAGTTGTGAGTTAAAATTATTGAAAATATTAATTTTATTCTAATTATTTTAATAGAATATTTGTTATCAGTTAATCAAATTAATTTTTAGTTATAAATTTGAATAGAATTTTTCAAAATATTTATTTTCTATATATTATAAATTTAAATTGCTACATTTTTCACGTTAAAAATGTTAAAAGCATAATTTCAGAAAAATTTACACAGCAAATTGATAAATAAAAATTTAGAAATAAATATTTGAAAATTAAATATTTCATTCATACTATTTTTGGATAATAAAATAAATTTCTGAATAAATTATAAATCTTTAAAAATGAATTTAATTAATTAATAAATTATAGAATATTTGTATATAATATGAATAGAATTTTTCAAATATTAATAATTTGTATTATAAATATATATTTATATATATATTAAATATTTTATATATATTATGAATTTTATATATAAGTAAATGGTGTGAAATGATTCTTGGTAAATTAATATTTTCAAAGAGCTCTACAGGACGCACCGCTGGTACTACGAGCTTGTAATTCACATTATGTGATTCTTCAAAGTGTATATTATGATAACAGTTACTAAAATCAATAGGTTTTCTAACAATATTTTGAATTAAAAAATATTTAATTTATAGACGTTATATGGAATGCGTGTTTATGAACGATAATACTCATAATATATATCTGAGAGTCAACTCAGAAGATTAACATTTTCAAAGAGCTCTACAGGACGCACCTCTTGTATTACAACTTT